CCCCAAAGCCCTCATGTCGCTTTCCGCAAGGAGTTATAATGCTCACCAAGACCATACCCATGCCGATAATACGCCAACCAAATCTCCTTGCCCTCCCCACCGCTCGCCGGCCCAATCTTCTCCGTCCGCCCGTCCTGCACGACCCGAATATCAACCCCATACACGTTCGCCAGCGCCGCAAGCTCAAGCTGTCCTCCCCACTCCGCCGTATCCCGTATCTTGCTCACATAGTCCTCCAAATCCTCCTCCAGAAACGGCGCAAAGTCATCCGGGTGGGCCGTCATGTACTCCGCCGCCGCCCTCCTGACAACCTTGTACGGCAGCTTCTGCTGTGGGTCACTCCCCTCACCACTGCCGGGGCCAGCCAGCGAGATGCCCTGCTGCCGCAGCTGATCCGCCACAGCGGAAAAGAGGCAGTGTCCGTCCGGCGCAATCTCCTTCTCCTCGAGGGCGTTCGCCTTGAACTCCTTGAGCATGTACGTCTTCTCGATGCCGCGGTGGTCCCTCATGCTCTCCGCCTCCTCCTGCGCCTTCTCCGCCGCCGCCTCGACCTCGGCCGCCCGCCGCGCCATGCGCTCCTTTTGTCTGTTGCGCTTCTTGCCTTGCCCCTGGCCTTGTGTTGCCTGCTCCGGCTCCGTCTCTTCCGTCACCGGCGGTTCGGAAATTGTGGTATCTTTCAATTTCTCCGCAACGTCAGCGGTCTCATCTCGCGTGGCATCGTCTTCGTCCTCGTCTTCCACCTCCTCAGCCCCGACGACTACACCAGACAGGCCGACCACCTCCTCCTCATGTTTCGCCTTCAACTGCCTCTCCAACTCGGCGCACTCGTCGTTAACGCCCTTGCGCGTCTTCTTGGTCGCGTTCTTCTTCTTGCTCGTGATCCGGCCGACGAGGTCGCGCTGCTCCTTGCGGTGCCGCACCTGCATCTGCTCCAGCGTCTCGGACTCCATGGTTCGCTCGGCCTCGACACTTCCGAGCTTTCGGTAAGAGAGGTGTTGCAGTCGGAAGGGGGTCTTAAGGCAGAGACGGACGGACTGATCTGTGAGCCCGGGGGAAGAGGGCGTTTGCTCGTTTGCTAGCTGAGACTGTGGCCGAAATTGGCGGGGGGTGGGGGGCCGATGGAGGTGCGATCAGTCCTGGCCGGTTCACAGGAGAATTGGCGTTAGGTCGGGAACCAGCTGACGACAGATCTGGATCAATCGCAAGTGGGCATAAATAAGTGGTATTGAGAGTGTGGAAATGCGAGCTTCGGGTTGCAGTCTATGTAAGGTAGTTGCCACTGGAGCTACAAGCTTGAGGTGCCATGGAGGGGCGAAATTTCTTGGTGGGGGGGTTTCGCTGCTTGCAGTGCGGGGTCGGTGCGTCCCCGGAGAGCGGCCCGTAATTCGACTTCGCCTGAGCAACGCCCACTAGGCCAACGGCCGCCCAGTAGTGGGCTTCGTCGCCCGTGAAATTTCCACAATCCGGTTTGACTACCATACTAAGTACCTGCCTACATCACACTGTCGGGACTGAACATTACGTTTAACAGTATTTGACTAACTTGCTAACTGTCCCTCAGGACCTATCTACACTAGCTAGCTACCTAAGATAACATCAACACCACATCTTGGTTGACTACCTACATCGTATAGTGGCAACACTTCACACATCGTCCCTCCGATGCCATCAGGGCCTGCGACCTTCTGGCCAGACTAAGCGTGATGGCCATCTTTCTGCCATACCGACGGCAGCCATCCGTCTTTTTCATTCCACCGAGAAACCAGAGAAGCGGCCTGGTTCTGTTTTGCCACCCCACACCTTTTTTTACACATGAGAAATAGTACACAATGGGTATCGTATCAAATGAATGCAATCCCGCGCGCTCCGGCCGATCCAAACCTTTCGCGACAAGAAACAATGTAAAGGACTTTACGCTTTCTCACTTAAAAGCCTTTGAAAGGGTCATCTCGGAAGTAGTCATCTTCACCGGTCGCTCGGCTGCTGCCGTGGTAGCCATCTGTGCCCCGCGTCCCACGAGAGCTATAGCTGTCACGGTGACGGCTACGACTCTGTCGTCTTCGGAGCTCCTTGCTTCGCCTCCGAGCTCGATAGCCGTATTCCTCGTACTCATCAGGGTCTCTATCGAAGCCTGAGTGGGCTAGGGGGCTGATGAAAGCCTCCATGCGCACGGTACCAATGGCATCAAAGAAGTTGCCACCCGGAGGCCGTGACGAGGCTTCCGACGTCCGCTGAGAGCCGGCTGTGCTCATGCCCCAACTCTGCCTGCTTGAGCCTTGGGATGGCTGAGACTGGTAAATATCAGACGAGCCGGCTGTGCCGACGCTGTTGCCAGCGTTGCTATTGGTGTAGCTGTGCTGTCCGACGCTGCCTGGTCCGGAAAATCCACGGAAGGAAAGCGGAGGCGGGACATGACCTCCAGTGTTGCTTCGCTTCCGTCCGTGGACCATGTTCTGGTTCGACCGCTCCGTGAACCGAGGGATAAACGGTGGTTCCGCCGCGTCTCCGGAGCGCTCACGTTGATGGTTATTGTTGTTACTCGGCATGGGCGGGAATGCCTCCGTTTGTTTGTAGCCAGAGGCGTCGCCTGTCCTGGAAGAGGGGATGCTGGGGATGCTGGGAACGCTTGGAATACTTCGTGGTCCGGGATTCTTCACCGAGGGGGCCTTGCTCTTTGTCAGTCGAATGGAATCACGAATGCCAGGTCGCCTGGTAGGTTGCGGTGGTTCAAAGTCCGGTACCGTGGTTGTTTTCGCAGGTTGGGGAGCAGCGATAATTTCAGGGATAGCTTGGGTCGAGTGTGCCAGGAATGAAAGCGCTGTAAGCCACACGTAGTGCCTCTCAGAAGATGTAGCCGTAAACTTCAACGCTCTTTGCGGAGTCAATATGAGAATCGAACGGTTGAAAACAACACCCTGGTTCCGAGGGGCAGGGTTATCATCCTTAACGTCAAGTACAGACTGAATGGTCACTGCTTCACGTTAGTAGAGCCTTGTCACGAGCCAAACTACAGTACTTACATTTCCGGCCAGTCTTACCCATCAGAGCACTTCCTGATGAAGGTTGCTTGCTGCTCCAGAGGATAGCTCTCTCATACGGAGCTAGCCAGACCCATCGCTTGTGGCGGTCATTGCTCGAGTCGTCCTTGCTGTTATCGGGCATCCCGAACGACTTGCGTCTTCTGACGTACTTGAACATCCATTCGCCGACCATGGTCTGCGCAATAGCATCGACGACACCCGTGGCTTGCGAGGCGCCATTAGACGCACCACCGACAGAGTTGACGTCGGTAGTGGCGGTCTGCGCCGTCGTTGTCGACAGCCTGGACTTGTGGGACCTGTAGTTTGAGCTAGTGTCGTACCGAGGGCTCGTGATGTCGTTGTAGGGAAGAGGAGGCAAGCTGGGGCTCTCTGGCGCTTCTGTTGTCTCTGAGAAGGGCGGCGGGGACCGACTGCCTTGCTTCCGGTTTCTCTGGTTACGAGGCAGGGCGGTAGCCGATCGTACCTTGCGGATGCTATTGGCACGATGGTAACTACCGGCGCGGTAGTGACTACGGCCGATGCCTCGGCGATGCCACGGTGCGTCCATCTTTGTAGGGCTTTGTTGGCCATCACTTGGGGCACTGGCACTGAACGGCGGTCGCCGAGAGCTGGCTCTGGTAGGAATGGGGAAAGGAGGGTCGGGTGCACGAGACTCTGGAACACTCGGGCTCCTAGGACGACCTTGATGGCTGGCGATCCCGCTCTGGATCATAGCAGCCTTCCGCATGACGTTCTTGCTCGAAGGACCGGCAGCAGACTTCTCGTACCCGCGGGTGGTCGGCTTGGCAGGCTGCCTCATGGTTGCTTCCCTACTTTCCAGACTGCCCCCATAGCTCTCGTTTGCGGCAGGGCGCATGGAGTTTCTGCTAGGGGCTGACCTCTTTGTCTGTTCCGGTGATGTAAAGGTGCTGACGGATGTGCGGTTGGAAGCTCGGGAGTCCGTCATTCTCATGCCAGGTGCTGAAAGTGCGGTTCGGTACTCAGAGTCGCTCACATCAGCATCAAACTCATCCTGCTCATCGGAGCTTTGTGCATCTTGAAAGCCGGCGAACAGGCTACTGATACGGTGTGGCCGTCGCATAGGTGCTCCTTCTCTCGAGAGTGGCCCGTCATCGTTGTTCCCAGGATATGCGTCGCGAGTTTGCTCGCCAAAGACCGGCGAGACTGGTGGTGATGATGGCATGTCTGACAGACTGCGCTTGGTAGCGAGTCTTCGAGGATTTCTTGGTGGCAAGTGCCCCGGCACCGGAGTAAAATGGCGAGGGTCGTCACTCGTCAAGGCGGTAGCAATACCGATACTTGGTGACGAAGGCCTCGATGTAATAGCCGAGGGACGCAAGTGAACAGGGAGTGTCGCCAGCCGTTTGTCGGAAAGAATCTCCTCGGTCTGAACAGCAGTGGACTTCATCGGGGCTGAGGAGATGATTGATACTTGGCACCCAAAGTCTTTGAAGTACTGCGGAAGCCGGGGTTCTCGTGGTGTAGTCGGGCGACTCGTTGGTGGGATGATACTAATGGATGGTATGGTTAATTCTTGCACCGGCTGCAGAACCGGAGGCGTCTGAGGCTTCTCCACCGGCTTGTCAGTCTGAGTTGAGGAGGAAACCATCACTGTGGGCGGAGTTTCGGGGGGAGGCGGAGTGGTAGATCTGTAGGGGGACTTTGGCGTTTTTGGAGGGCTCAAAGGCTCCTCAACAGTTTGTGAGCCAGCAGATACCATGTGATTAAAAGGCCGCGGCTCGATTGACAGTGGTCGGTTGGCGTGAACTCGCTTCCTTCGCTGGTTGGCCTCAACTTCCCATTCGCCTCTTGGAAAGGCCTCGACCTCGGTGAGCTTTTCGACCTTGGCAGGCGGTTCCGGTGTGGGAGGCTTGACAGGTTCCATCTTCGGTGATGGGGGCGGTGAGTACTGGATTCCGGTATCAGTGTAGCTGACCTTGGGAGCCGGGGGCGGCGGAGGCGGCATGAGATCCTCATCGTTCTCTTGGATCCTGTCTTCCAGGGCCTCCAAGACGGGCTGGTTCATCCAAAGTCGGCCCCTAGTAACACTTCCAGGACGCTGAGGGCTTTCCATGCTTTGGTTTCGTCGGTGAATCTTGGATAGAATACTATCGCGGCTGAATGTTCGTGTGTGGCGATGGTTGGACATGACGCTCTCGCGTCCGCCATCGTCAGTCTGCCAGTCGTCGTCGCCATCGAGGTTGAGCTCGTCCGCCAGGGAGTTTCCATTAAAGACCTTGCCGGGACTCTGTTGCATTGAAAATCGGACGCTATTAGTCAAGCTCATAGTGCGGACGCTTCCTGCGTCATTTTGATCCTCCGTTTCGCTGTCGTTGCCGTTGCCATTAACGTGTGCAGCCTGGTAGGCGGCGACCTCGTCTATTACCACCTTCAAGCGGCTCTCAGCGACGTGAACTCTGCGCTCATATTTGCGCTTCTCTTCCTCCCAGGAATCCTTGTCCTGAGCCCAGAGGTCGTGGAGTCTCTGAGAGTCTTCTTCCTGACTTCGAATCTTTTTCTGGGCGGACTCAAGTCTCTTCTTCGTTTCCGTGATGGAGTCGACGGCCTCGTCCCTTTCGCGGGCCAGTTCACCCAGTGCTGACGAGGTACCACCTTCCAGGAGGGCTAGTTGACGTTGCAGTGACCGGCTTTGCTTGGTTGTGGTGGCTACTGTCTCTTGGAGCGTTTCTTGCTCCTGGCGGGAGGCATGCAAGGATACTTCCAGGTTCTCGATAAGCTTGGCCTTTTCTTCCTGATCTCGCCTCAGGTTCAGGATCTCAGCTACGAGATTGGCGTGTAAGGTGGGAGTGAAACGACGTGGGTCAAGAACGCTGATACCATCGTCGTTGGTCATATTTCTGGATGAACGCTTAGAGCCCTTGTCGTTCTGTGGGACGGGGGGAGGTGAAGGGCTCTTCTTCCCATTCGGCGGGGTGACGGAGCGTCGGGATTTCCTCGAGCTTCGTGATGGTGTTCTGTAAGGCGTATCCTGGGGTGTAGGCAACGCCGTCACGGCAGCGTTGCCTTTGGACTCATCCTCGGTCTCCCAAACAGCCATCTTGACTGACTGGAGACAAAAGAGGACTCTCAGTGAGGTGTCAGGGGCGCAATGGTCCTCAATTGAACCCTTCAAAAAAGAAGCGTGAGCATGCAGGTTATGGTCGGTCGGCTTACAGCGAGAAAATGTGCTTGGATCGCCTCGGGGAAAATCAAACGTAGGGGATCAAAGCACACAGCTGAGCCCAGGGATCCTTGTTGTCGGTGGAAATGACAGGCGCCAGAGCATCAGTCTGACCGCGCAATCACTGGTGCATTGACGCTTTTCAACCCCCACTGAGTCTTGGTTAGTGTTCGATGCTACGGGAGAGGCACATTGGAGGAGGCCGAGGCCGAGGCCCACGGCAAGGAAGATGCATGAAATGTCCTTGGTGAAACTTACGATGCGATGTTGCTGCTGCTACTGCTGCTGCTGCGTCGCGGGCGCAGCAAGGCAGTGTCAAATAGGTGACAGGTTGTATGCTATGGGCAGCAGCCCAATCGAGTAAGAAAAAAAAGAGAAAGAAAAAAGAAGAGAGCGAGAAAAAGGGGAGCCTCGCTCGTGTGGCCGTTTCTGGACGACCCAGACGCGACTTAGCATGAAGTTCTCGGGGCCCCAGGTGGTATAATTGGTGTATAAAAGCCGGGGAGGGATGGTCGGGAACGGTTTTGGGCTGGGCTCCCACCTTAAGAAGGAGGATATATAGGCAGTAAATTCAGATATGAAACTGGCTGGCTTTCGAAGCCGGAAATCAACGTCGCAATATGTGAAAGGAGAGATCGAAAAAGCGCGGCAGTCGCAAGGACAGATGACAAGCTCAGAGTCGCAATAGGGCGGGAGCCCGTTCTAAGTCGACATAACGTTGTAAGTTGAGTTTGGTGAAAGGCCGAGATGGAATGCGACTCCGGATAGGATGAGCGGCAGTACCAAGAAGCGAGGCGAAGCAGAGAAAAGGGAACAGGAAGGATTGGCGTATGTACAAGGCTCGGACGATGTACTAATTATATGACGAAAACAGGCGAGACGTTGGGAGAAGAAACGTTGGTCGGGTAGAGGCGCAGACGAGAAAGGCGCGAAGGCTTGGTTTCGCGGTTCTGGTGGGGGAGATTTTGTGGTCAGCGTCTTGGCCCGGACCTCCCTCCTTCTTTCCTTCCGAGGCTGCTTCTCCCGCTGCGATCGGCCGCACCAACCAAACGGACTGAGACATATGGGGACTTACCCGGCGGAAGATATTGGACGGTCGTTAGTTTGTCGGAAGTTTTGGAAACAAGTCGAGGGTAGAAAAGCAACGGCGCACCGGCGGATTCGAGACAGAGCGACAGTGACAAAAGGAATAAGACGAGTTTAGGGACGGTGAAGGTAAGGGTAAGTGTACAACTGCCAACAGCTAAGTGGTAAGTCGAAATAGATGCACGCGAGAATCGGTTGCGCAGCTGGTAGGATGTGAAACCCAACAAGACGGGGGCACAGAACAGAACAGCTGCATCCGAGGCCAATGGGCGTAACAATGGCGGCGCCTGGAGGTCGGGCTGGAGGAGAAGGAGAGAAGAGAGCCGTGAGAGGCGAAGCGAGGCGAGGCGAGGCAGGAGGGAGAGAGGGGGAGAGAGAAAGGTAAAGGCAAGGCGCAAGGCAAAAGAATCAGAATGAAGACCCGAGGCGCCAGACTATTCAGTCAATTCAAGCACGGGACAGGCTGAGATGGGATGGAATTAAATGGGACGGGCAAGGGTGAGGAGCATGGGAAAAGCAGCACTAATGTAGGTAGGGTAGAGGCCGGGGTGGGAGGGACGAGAGAAGATGCCCGGGAAGCATCAAAGTGGGCATCGAGACCATCACAGTGGTAGTGCAGCGGATGCAGCAGCGGGAAGCCGCGAGGGACAGTCTGGGCAGAGAGAAAAGATGGCGAATGCAATGGCACGAGCCAGCAGAGGCCGGTCAACAGAAGGCCAAGTGCAAGGTGCATGTACGGGGTGCTGTGTATGTGTGAATGGTATTACTAGTGTGTGCTTGTTGTAAGCCACGGGCAGGAAGCTGCGGGATGCGCTGTTGTGATGGGATCATGATTATGAACAGAAGTTGGAACGGGCCACGGCCAGGCCCCTGGTCAGGTCAACGAGATTAGCTAGATTGGGGTGGGATGGGATGTGTATTGGTAGACGGTAGCGATCATGGCTGTGATTGGGAAGCGAACCAGCAATCAAATCAGTCCAGGACTCCAGATGGGAGGAGACGAAGCACCGGGGCCAGGCGCCGTCGGATGACATGGGCGTAAATTAGCCAGGCACGCACGACGCGGCCAACGGTCCAGCCTCAAGAGGCCATTTTCATCTTGCTCCTTCCGAGTCCTGACTCCTAGTGTGTATCCGTAGGTACCCTTACCTTATAATGAATAAAGGTCAGGAATCAAGCCCACGGAACACTCGCGCAACAGCCGTTCTTCTCCATCTTGCTGATGTACCGCGTACTCTGCAATTTGAGGCAATGTACGTCGGTGCTGGGAATTTGGGAGGATGAGTGGGATTTCTTCCTTCTCCTCTTTCATGTGTCTCTGTCGGTTGATGGCGCCGTAAGGTCTCTTGTCCAAAACAGATGGCACTTGCAACCACGTCTTTGATTCTGGATTTCTACTTTCCAGAGAGACGATGAGCCGGAATCGGACTTGTTCTCGCCCCAAACCCCCCTCTCTGCGTCACTTTGTAATCGTTCAATGTCTTTCACTCTCGGTTCATCCATGCAACCGGACTTGGCTTTCATCAGAAAAAAACCCATGAGCGTTCGACCATTCGTCTTCCTTCTGCGATGCAGGAAGCCACGGGACCCGAGGAGTTGGCAGAAGAAAGGAGATTACAGCGAGAGAAAAACTCGCAACAGCGTTGGACGGCGCTAGCTGCCCACCACTTGCGTCTGCCCGCTACAGAAGACGGAGAATTCTCGAGGCTAGGTACCTTGCCGAACCTCGCACTCACCAAGGTACCTGATTTATGTACGAACACACGCACTAAGGTACTCTGCACCGGTCGGGGTCATGTAAAGACGATCATTGGGGACAAGAAGCAACCGGCGTGGGAAAGGTCCTCGACAAACTTCATCCAAACCGGCCGTGACTGGGCCACAGGTGCCGATTGGGCCAATTGAGGGCAGGCCATACTGGACTTGGAGAGATTTGCGCTCACTGGGCTGCAATGAAGCAGTGGAGGAACTGGCGACCGTTTCTCGAAACTTTCTGACACGTGGGATCGTTTTTTTTGTCTGCTTTCTTATTCTCTGCCCGACCGAGTATATCAGCACTTGATCATGCTCTGCCTCGTCTCATTTGTCAATGGTACGCCGCACTGCCGCATAAGAGAGGATACGTACCTCTGTCGCCTTCTCAACCTAAGTGAGGCAGCTATTCGTCGATTCTCCACTTTTTACTGTGAGAGGCCTGGAACCCGTCGCGAACTCGACGGGCGTTTCCACGATCCGCAACGCCAGCAGGTACGATGTATGAGTGACGAGAAACAAAACCGCCGGGTGAAACGGCGCAAGAGGGGATGAACCTAGATTGCTAACCAATGGTCGCGATCTCGAGGCATGCAAAGCCAGAAAAGCCTTTTGCACCTCCAAATTGCTCCAACAATTGGAATCCCTGACGTCTGCGCTCCAACAGGAAGGATTCATAGACATCCGGAAAGGCACGACCGGGGATACCATCACTTCCCTCAGTTCCATTGGAACCTACCGGAATCCCCGCTAACGCCCCTTTGGGGAGCCATGGGTGGAGACAAGCCATTTGGGCAGGAAAGAACGCTAGGTAGACAGGGGAGCTCCTTCCAGGGCACGTCAGGGGTCCTGGTAGACCACAGAAGGGCAAGGACTCTTGGTCGCACACCATCCATCCCGTCTTTACTAAGGTTCCTTACCTTACCACTTATCTCGAGGACTTCCGAGTTCCAACATCACGGCCGAATGGGAATGGAACTTCTCCAACATGAAGCCCGCAATTTCCTGCCTGCGCTGATCGCACTTCTCATCACCCGCCGTCACTCGCCGTTATCGTATCCTCGCTTCTCCTCTCGTCTTCCCTCGAGTCAATGTCAGCGCAATTTCCCCTTCAGCCTCTCGAGTCTCTTGACTTTATTTACATGTGCAACCTTGCATAAAAACTGAGGAACCTCTCTAACCTTTTCGACAACGGGTTACCGTCCTAGCTACAGCGACTCACTCTGCGCATGTCTCGCCTTGCGCAACACCGTCTGCGCTCTTGATTCGCCTTCCAACAATACACGAGGCAGCCTCTCGTGTGAAAATGTCTCTTGGTCGCATCATCTCCTTTCTTATCCCGATACATTGACAGTGTCTTCGTTCCCCGCTGCCTCATTTACTCCCAGTCATTCGTCCCAAGAATCGCAGCGTCAGGGGTCCTAGACTGAATCGCTTGACAGCAAGACCCTCGGCCCTGTCAATGTCTGGCGTAACCCACAATATGTGCCGACTGTCAATCTTTCAAAGGGCTGTGCACAAGAGGCCCCTGCGGTGCCCAAAAGCAGCATCTTGAACATCATTGACCATGGGCCCCCCAATCAATAACCTTCGGCTCCCTCAACCCCTCGAACTGCCGGTTCCCGGTCAGCCGTGCCTTGTAGAGGTCAGAGCCTCCATTGTATTAATGTCATGGCGAGATTGAAGAACACAATCGATTCGACCGCTGTCTGAGCAGAAACACACCGGGTTCCCTTCGATTAGAATTTTTTATATGTTCGACCATAAGCCGCCGAGACTTAGCTCATGACACCATATCACAACTCCATCAACCTCACACACCTCAAGCGATGATACTAGTAACGTTTGCCACCTTCCTTTCAACGTTCCACGACCGCCATCACGGGCGCGCCGATCAAGTAGGAAGGAGCTGAGACGAGGCTTTTCTTACAAGATGCCTCATCAAACGGTTTACCATCCGACAAGAGATGAGTCGTCAGGGCAGGCAATAGATGCAAGTCAAAGGCACAGTCCCAGCCACGGAATCACAGCGGAGGCTGTTGGACGTTAAATCTGTGCCTGCCTTGCAAGCTGCATTCGCACATGCACGCAGCATTTGCTGTGCCGCTGGCCCGCTGGCCCGCTTTGCAGTCCAAGGCTTCGCAATCTCAGGCAAATCAATGTGCTCGCTCTTTCACCATTGACAATCATGAAGACGGATGGATGTAAACCCCCTCACCCCTCGAGCAAAATGTTCTCGATTTCGGTCATTGGCTCCTATCGCGGTAGCTCCCCCGACTTAGCATAACCCTCCAGATATTACCATGGGAAGCGGATCATATCAGGATCCCATTGTCTGTTCGCACGACTGACGAACTCCCCCATCTATTCAAGATGAGCTTGTCTAGATTGCGCAGGGGGCCTAGGCGTATTCACAGCTCTTGATATTCTGCCTACACGTAGCGGTCTCTGGTGATCGGTTCGCATAGCCATCTTCCTCGCCATTGTGTTGTTGAATCCATAAGGCAAGCTCCAAGAGTCAGTTGCAGACAACTTGACGCCATGCGCTGGCCCTAGACGTCCCAAGAATGCGGGATGCAGCTCGATATCCGACTACACTTCTGGGTCGCTCACGAAGTTCTTCCAAACTTTAATGACCTCCTTTCCCAACAAGGAGACCAAGACCGTGCAAGCAAGATTGGATCCCCAGTCCAGACAGCCCTGCAAATACACCATTCGGCAGGCTGGTAAGGGCAAGCCTCCGGCGCCGATGCATCGGTTCGCGCCCTCCTAACAATCTCAATTACGATCCTGCCCGAGTTCCTTGCACTAATCAGATTTGGAATCGGCGTCTGTAGGGACCATAATCAGGCGCCCAACATATAGCAACCAAGGCTTTCCCCTCACGAACCGTCAAGTTCGCCGGTCTCTAGTTGGTAGCTGCCTTCGTCTCGTCAGCATTGGACCTTCGTCCGATCCCGCGATGTTCAAGTTCCGCCGTTGCCGTTTGCCAAGGAGTAACCAGTCCTCTGATTCTCAAATCTCCAACAGACGAGCATGGCACAAAAAAAAGAAAAAAAAAGCAATTTCCCGTGCGAGAGGCTTGCACTAATAGGCCACCCGGCCACTTCGGTCGTCTTGGTGTCAGCCCGGATGTTTTGGAATGCCTCCCGGCGCGCCCAACTCACAAGTCCCAACTCAATTCAGGGTTCTGCTACCCCAACTACCAGGCACAGGGAACATGCATTCTGCAGATGGCGCCAGCACGTCTAGCGACACCAAACATTGCGGAGAGTGGAGACGGTCCTCCCAAACTCGTAGAGCAAACACGCAGCTTCAAGTCATCACGCATTCTCTTCATCCGGATGTCTTCCCCGGTGTCGCTGCTCACCGCAATCTAGTAAATCTACCCATGGCCACGAACCAACACGCAGGATCTGCGGCGCTGCCCGGTCGGACGAACGCGGTCTCCTTGAGAAACGACGGTCGCTCGTGACTCGATGATACCAGGCTTCCAAGGCTGCAACGGGCCATCTGGCTTTCAAGATATTGGGCACAACGCCACGAGACCCGCTGCGAAATAGATCAAACTGCCGTTTATTAGTCAACGAACCACGGCCCAAAAGCAATTTGTCCTGGTGTTACGGAGCGTGCCTGGCCCGTCTTTTAGCCTGTGCTACCATCTGTCTTTTTACAACGACCAAACGCCACCCGCGCTCCTGATATTTCGGAGAAAACGGCAGAGGCTTTTGAGCATCATAACAACCACCTCCAGAGCCTCGCCAGCCGGAAAAGCGCGGGATAGCAGACGAGCCCACGTTAAATTCCCTTCGCCGGCCTGGGTCAAGCCATACCAAGTATAGTAACGGTTGGCCCCGTTCTCATAGTAAAGCGGAGCATATATAGCTCTATCACAACCAGTTGTGACAGGCCTCAGTGAATGCACAATTGCTTGACGTGATCAACCTCAATGCAGCATCAGGGGATTTAATCTTCCGCGCATGAGTGATATGCGTCTCTACTATGGTATGCAGCAGCAGACTAGGGTGGAAAACAGGATGGGTATGATTGCAAGGTTGTACTTTGTGCGACCGTCGAACATAGCGCAGAACTCAATCAAGACTCACAGCAAGCTGAGAACCTCGGCCCTAACGAATAAGACTCGAGAGTTTAATTTATCGTCACGACTGAGAAGCGACCTTCATTTATCGAAACACGCCTGCGAAATGTGAGGAGGCACAAGAGGGTTGCGTCAGCGGAACACATTCGCTCTCGCCCCATCAATTATACGGCAGCATCATCTCCCACCCGCATCATACGAGGCAGTCAAAAACTTTGCGCGAAAGATGGAGAGGTCATTTCCCGCGGCTTCCCAAAGCAGCTTCATCTCTTGGCCAACCATGCTCGCCCCCATCAGTGATCCATCTCATTTTCTTCTGCCAAAACCCATCTGGCCGGGAATCTCTGTTTCTAGTTCTGCTATTTTGAATACTCTGCCACGTGGGCAATGCAATCCACAACACATCGTCTTTATGGCTGTATGTCCCTGTCCGTACTAACTACTTGGTATCTATCTAGCCTCCCGTAATCGAAAGCATGGGGAATCGAACGCCGCGTGCATCTGCGGGATGGCGGCCGTGTTCGTCCACGACCAAGATTTCCCCTTGATCTGAGCAGCCGCGAACGCCGTCAGTGCGTATTTAGCAACTCCGTCCACCGTGCCCCCTGGTCCTTGGTGCCCCCTGTCCAACGGCAAATATCCTGAGCCGGCGAGGTCGGCGTGCTGCACTCCAGCATTGCGACAGTGCCAAAGGACATGCCTCGACGGGATCCATCATCCGGTAAGGCAAGCCGAGATGACGAAGACGTTGTGTTTTTCCCAGACGGTCCGTCTGCGAGAGCGATTCCTCGTTCATCATCGTCGCTGAACCTTTGAGCGGTCGAGTTTTCCTTGCGAAACGTCAGAGAATGGCGTCGGGTGACAATAGGCATGCGAGGACGAGCGTGGGACGGCAGACAGAGCAACGAGCCGCAGCCAGGACTTCGAGACTGAGTGAGCTCGTCGCGATAATGGGAAGCCAGAACAGCGGAGGCCTTTCCGCGAGCCTGACTTCTGCGAGGATAAGGCGGTCATGTCCGAAACTCCGATAGCCACGGGTAAAACATGTTCATCGGGATGCGAGCTTTGTGCCGGTATTTGATATGCAAAAGAGCGTTCGGTCTCGGGCTCTACTACTGACTCAGACACGAGTGCGCGGTCAAAGGGGTTGAATCCACGTTCCGCATTGCCGTCTGCGAACGAGCCGAGGTCTCGGCGGCTCGTCCATGATCGTCCATCAGTCGAGCCGTATGGGACTGTAGCGGCACGAAGCAAGAGTACAGCTCCATCAATGAGCTAAGCAAACATGATCACAATGATAGTGGGTATGTTTCGCAAACTAGCTTATTCCTAAGTCGGTACAATTCTGGCTTACACGTCACGAGACGGATTCGAAAATATGTCTCCGCAGTTGCCCATGTTCCAGGCTATGTAGCTTGACCATGCTAGGCCACGCTGGGCTCATCTCTCAATGTTGTTTCCAGGCCAAGTGAGCATAAAGATATCGGTGAGAAACATCTCCGTCTCTCGCGAATCGGGTTGGGCATACGATGCGTCTCCGAACTCAAATATTTGATATGAACTTCGCCTAAGTCTTGGTGATAATATCCGTACGGGGTTGACAAAAGGGGATTCGGTCCTCTCACCCTCTCAACCCCATCTCGCCTTCTTCTATGAACAATTACAAGCAGACTCCCCTTTTAAATCCCACCGCGTAGTCTCCAAAAACCTGGTACGGAGATTAAGAACAAACAAACAAACCGACGACGAGTACACAGCCCCAGCTCAAGAGAGGCGCAGTACCAATGACCTGGCTCCTAGAGATGAGGCTCTCATCTTATCCCCTGAAGAAGCTGAGCCAAGCGCTCCACCCATCCGGACGTCATTGCGAGCATGAAACAACGCTTCCGTAGAAACGAAATGGAGAACTGGAGGGCAGGCAAGCGGAGTGTTTTATACCATCCCCCCCCCCCCGGGGGGCCCGGGAAAAAGGTCGTGTGGGTAGGGTTTGAGCAATACCGAGATTGGGCTGCCGGGATTTTGAGATTATTTCCGATCGCGCGCGGTGATGCTGGGAATGCTTTCCTGTCCAGCACTAAATTGGATAAAGACGTCACGCGAGTTGAGGGTGGCATTCCCGTGAGATAGTGTCTGCTGTCTGTGATGCCAGAAGGGCGGCTTGGGTTATCAAAGTGTTTGAACGTCGAGCTGTTTGTTTCAGACTACCCTCATACACGACAGACAGATAGAGACAGAGGTAATGTTGTGATATGTTTCATTGCTTTGCCTGTTTCTGACCGAGGCTCGGCATCAGTCATTATTCGAAGTAGATACACGGCGGGCGGGCTTGGCCTGGAAGAAGGTAGACGTGACGCATTCCGTGGGATTGAGTTGCACTGATCTGTACTGCAATTGTTTCTTGCTAAAGTAAGCAGACGCCTCTGGGCGTTTACCTTGTCATTGCCGAGGCCAGAGGCTCTCGTCAATTCGGGTTCAGATCATTGTTGACGTCTCCGAGGCGGTCATTTCCGTGGCTGCTGGTGATTACTTTTAATGATCAAAAACCCAAACTTCTAAAACACCCCCAATCCCCCCATGTACCTCAGATTACTCAACCGAGAGTGCGGGTTAATAACGCTCACTGCACAGACAACGTCCCCAGGACGTCGGGCGTTGCCGGGCTGCCCCGGGCGGAGTTTGCCTTACCGCGGCCCCTCCCGGGCCCGAGACGAGCAGGCGGGGTTCGGGATGGATCAGTCAGCAATCCGACCCCGCCTCGATGATACCAATGATTCCTTTATGCTCTTTATACTACACTTCATCGGGCATTCCCTCCTCTAGAACTCTCATCCTCGCGGACATACACTTCAACCTTGGACAGTTGGATTTTCCTTTTGCAGTTTACCGTTTCCGTACGTACGCAAAGATTCCAGCAATCGAGAGAAGCAAAAAGAACACACCCAACCAACATCAACCCGCAAAATCGATACCATGTCTGGAATAGCAGGCGACCTCCCTAATATCAAAGCGGAGAACCTCCGCGACCTCAAAGCCCTAACGTTCGACGTCTTCGGCACGGTCGTAGATTGGCGTTCCTCGGTAGTCGAGGAACTCACGGCCCGCGCAAGGGCCAAGCTCGACTCCTCCACCAACACAACCACCGGGGAGGAGAAGGAGAAGCTGGAGACGCTCGCGGCCGTAGACTGGTCCGCCTTCGCGCAGGAGTGGCGGACGTCGTACATGCGCTTCACCCGGGGCTACGTCCCCGGCGAGACGCCCTGGAAGGACATTGACACGCACCACCACGACAGCCTCGTCGCCCTGCTGGAGGGTCGGGGGCTGGCGGGGGTGTACTCTGACGACGAAGTCCGCCATCTGAGCCTCGCGTGGCACCGTCTCCGGCCGTGGGCGGATTCGGCCGCGGGCCTGCGCAGGTTGGGCGGGAAATTTGTCACGTCGACGCTGAGCAACGGGAACAAGGCGCTGCTGGGGGACCTCGATGCGTTTGGCGGGCTCGGGTTCCGGCGGATCCTGTCGGCGGAGGATTGGAGGGTGTATAAGCCTAATCCCGCAGTCTACGACGGCGCGGTGGAGGTTTTGGTTGGTGGAGCGGGGGGCAAGGCGAGGGAGGTTGCGATGGTGGCGGCGCATTTGGGGGATTTGGCGGCTGCGCGGGGACGGGGGATGAGGACTGTTTATGTGGAGAGGCCGTTGGAGGAGGATTGGGAGGTGGGGAGCGAGAGGTATGAGGATGCGAAGGGGTGGGTTGATATCTGGGTGAAGGAAGGGGAGGGCGGGTTCGAGGAGGTTGCGAGGCGGTTGGGAGCTTGAGGAAGGAGGTGATGAGATGTTCTAGGGTTGCGGAACATGGTTTCCGGTGCACATGTGTCGAGGAGCGAAATCTGAAACGACGAAGTCAGTACGATTCAAAAGATCAAAGCTCTGTTATCCTCTTGGGAACCGTGTATTAGCAACGAACGGTATGGTATATTGTGGCCAAGCAGATGTAAGCCCTCGATAATGACAATAGGAGGGCAGAGATAGTGTAATATTAATTCGAGAGATGAATGAGTTGGCTGGCAGCAAAGCAGCATGTTATATTCTCCGAAGGAATTCTTGGGGATGACTTGGTTTCATTGCCTCAGGGGTTCTCTCAGTTTACAGGCCAAACTCTCTTCCCGAACTTTTCTTTCCTTACTTGGTGCAAATATCATGAGGACAATGGGGACTTACAGAATGGGAATCCTGTCAGTGAGTTTGGCTCAGGTGGGAACATGCAGATGGATTATAAATGCCCAACCAGCATGAGCCAAAATATCTGGATACTTAATTGCTTTGTTTACTTGGTCTCAAGTATGTACAAGGCACACATGGGCTAATAGAACAATCTGGCACGAGGAGCAAAGTAGATGACTTCTTGAACAAATGGCAACTATAGAAACAGGCTGCTTGTCAGCGGTAAAAAAAAATCAGACTGCTTTTCGAAGAGGAGGCTTAAAATAATTCGCATAGAATTGACACTTGGCGTATAAAAATATCAGTCACTACAGAAGTATAACTGAGCTTTCCTCCGTGTCGGAACGGTCCCCTACTACCCTTCAGGCGTACCTGCCCATCATCTTCTCTAGTACAATCGAGTTGAATACTCATACAGAGAAAGACGGCGAAATATAGGTGTTTAGTCTTTCTTGATATACGACGTAGCGACTTCGCGGTTGTCACCTCTTGCATCGACGGCACTGGTTCGGACAGAATTCTGCTCCAGCGACTCTACGGGCATGGAGGTGGCATGAATTGTGGTAGTCTCTCTACAAACCCAGAAATCCTACCACTTGCCTATCAGAATATCGCAAGATGCAGCAGATCATCAGTCTTTAATCAAACAGGTCAGAAACGTTAATATGGCATGGACAGCTGCATTACCTATCCCGCGGTGTAGGGCGACTCGCGTCATGTCTGATATGTTTAGATAGTGAAGCACATGTGGTAGGTTCTCAATCAAGAACACCAATTAGTAAATACGGAAGAATTGGGTTTGACTTTGAAGCGACACAGCGTGTTTCCGACCAACATATACGGACTACCAATGCTGTCTGAAAAGTACCATCTTAATAATATGAAGTTAAGAAGAAGACAGATCTCGATGCCTTAGCTCCCGTCTTCCTTGGAATGCCAAGAAGACGGTTCATCCAGGTACTTGTCAGGTAGAGAAAAGCTTCTTTTTCATCACACTACTTCCCAGGTTACGCGCGAAAAGGGCTTCGCCAAGCACCCAAGACACATCACACCATCTAAGATAGCTCCATCCACACACACACACACACACACACACACACACATAAATAGAAGCAATAGAGCGTTGTCGTCCACCGGAAAAGCTTGGTCCCAATATAGCATCCTCCCCCATCCCACCCGCTCCAAGACCTCCCCACTCTCACCCGCAAGAAAGAAAACTAAACCATGTTGTGCCTGCAACCTTCATGCAGGGTCCCATTTCTCGTATAATTCCTAAGGAAAAAAGAATGGCCCCATGTCTCACAACCCGTGGGAGAAGGAAACCCCGTAGACGTCAATGTCAAGTGTAAGACCAGAAGCAGGGCGCAGAGCGGCAGATCTGCAGAGCTGCATACATCAAGAGGCTGGCTGCCCAACGACACGGCATGCCCGATGGAAGAGAGGGCTGTCTGTCAGCCTAACGTCCGAAAGAGGCAAACCAGCTGTAAAGGCAGAGAGGTCCCGTGTGGGGAGAGAGGGTAAGGGAAAAGACGAATAAAAGGCGAGGTGGATGTCACTGAAGTGGTCGTCGGCATGCTTTACGGACGTAAAATAGCATCGTCTGATAAATCGCCCTTTAATCTGAGCAGCTGTTTAGGCTGAGCATCTACGGATATCACGTCCAAATATCAATAAGCCCGGAAGAAAAAAAAAGGGCCCAGCCCCCTTCTAGTGTGTGCCATTCCCAGATCCGAAATCCAACCTTGTCACGGCAACATTCGACTCTACCCGGTGGTGCTCATATTCCGGCAATGGACCTGACTCAGACACGATCGGGGCACCACCATTCATGAATACATGTAGTAACCTAGAAATCGCCAAAGAAATACGCGACGTAAGATCGCGTCGCATCGACATACACATGTAGGCAGGCAGGCGGTGTTCTCTCCGTGAATGTCGTTGCCCTAGCTCGGAGGCCCGGGCGTCCGGAAGGGAACCACGTGCACCGCGGGGGAACGGAGGGGGGGCGTCTGCCCTTCGGAAGGCGACTCTGCACGGAGGAGCAGGCCCAAACCGGGCCTCCAGCGCTCAAGGTCAACCGTTCCATATTGTTTTCCCCTTGCTCAATCGTCCACTTCGATGCTAATCCTGGTGCTCATCCATAGTGGGTTCTTCCACTGTGTGTCTTTGGGGTTAGGAATCACACTTCCTCGTTGGTAAGATGTAACCAAGAGACGAGATGCACCATTCCTGTGAGATGAACCTGGAGTTGTTTATGTGATTTGTACCATAGGCTTCCAAGCGAGTATGAGGGAATGCTAACATCAGGAAAAGGTAGTCCATTTACGTATGAAGGACGATCAAGTAAACACATCGAGGCACTACATTCACTTTCTGTGCCTCTTCAATCATCCTAGGAAGCCGGGCAGCAGAGAGCCAGACAGCCAGATTCGCTTCGACAAATTACGCTTCTCTGCGGGGGACCCGGACGACGACCGAGAGAAGGTCCAAACTGGCCACCAGGAATGCGACGCGTCCCTCGTAAGGCAGATTAGATCACCTCGGTAAGGGTCTAATGATCTCTTCCGCATCTGCTGGGGTGGTAGTGAAACCATAACCTTCTCTCGCCTCTCCTACGGCTTCGCGAACAAGATTGTTAAACTGTTGTATTGTGTCTAGCCGAGTGGTATGATAGAAGACAAGCAATACCGGTCCTTCTTTCCATGCCCCGACGTTGCAGCACTAAGACCAGAACGACGTCAGGGGTGGTTGGAAGTGGTGGGACGACAATTGCTACCATATTCATTCTGCCTGTGCAGCAATTTGTCTTAGTCCCCGTTCGATTCCGCTTCTCCAATACATCTCTCTCTATCTACAAAATACTGGTCCTTTTCGCCGGGATGGGGGTGTTGAAACGGAGGGCATAGTGGCTTTTTTGACTTTACCACAACAACAACATCATTGTCCATCAATTTCGGCAGTTGAAGGGCTTGGCAGGGCCAAAATCTATCTGAAACGTGGGAAGAACGTGGCAAAGGGACCTTTCTTCCGAAAATGCGCTGTGTGTGTGTGTGTCATTTGTGTCATTGTATTCATTGTTGCAATCCATTGGACAGTCATCATAAAAGCGCGAGTTCGTGGCTGAAGGGCCACTTTTGCTTATTCTTGTCTCGTCGTTTCTTTTTCTTCTTCCCACATCCATCCTTCCCCCTCCGCGGGCCGTTACACGGGCACAGCCGAGCTAAATCAAGGCTTGACTGTGCGTCATAGTGCTCAAATCGTGTTTCGAACTGGAAAGTCGGGCTCATGTGGTGGGAACTTAATTTTGATTCCCTTTGAAAGGACCATTGAAGGGAAATTGATGATGTGGGTATATATCACGTTGTCGAGGTATCTGCCGCCAGTGACCAAGAAGTTGACAGCGTTGGCAAGGCAAATCGTGGCAACATGTAACCCCAAGGAAGCCAAATTTGATGCCGAACTCCGTTGCTATGCCGTGAGGTGGTCTTGCAAGTCAGTAGCGCGCCTTTGAGCATTTCGAGGCCTCTTTAGTTCTCCTCCGTGCAAAGTCGACTATCCCGTGGCACTACCAGTCCGGCCATGATCAAGACAACCGCCCCAGCATTCGTTCCAGGCATGCGGGAGAGGAACGCCTCGTTTTGTGTCTTGTTTAGCGATTCTCCTCCGTGCTTCGAGTGGAGCGGTCAACACAACGAGGCAGCAGGGCGCTTCTGACAAACGCCCTCCCGCGGTTCTTAGGTACGCTCCACCCGAGCTACACAAACGAGCCACAGTAGACTCACAACTTTGGAAAACTCTCGAGGACAAACAAAATCGCTGCCTCCGCTGGATGAATGAGTCCATTGAAACAGGACCGTCCCAGACTCTCATCTCCAAATGCCTCGAGCCCCCCACGCTCTTCCATGACATTTATCGCAGACATGTCACACTGCAGTGTATGAAATCCGTAAGGACTGGGAGTATATAGCCTTGTCTGTACGAATTGCCATTTTCCAAACATCCTTTTTCCGAGGCAGTGTGCTTGGATTGTCTCCCGCTAGCTCTTGGCAATGAGGAGGATATATTTGGATCATCGTGAGTGCAAGACGAGCAACATCGAGGGGCGGGGAGGCATCCGATTGGACCACGCCAATTTCACGTCGTGTTTGCTTTCACCCGGGCGTGGGGGACAGATAGCGGGAATCGAGGCGTCTCGTCACTCCCTTCTCATGCAGTGTGACGGCACAGGCAAGTTGTCGACACTAGACAGCCTATTCTCTGCGTTACTCGGGAGCCCGTGAGGTATCTCTTCTTTATATAGCTCAACCAAATTAACGGCACGGTGAGATTGTGTCAAGTCATGAGATGAGCTGTAGCCTTCTTCCTCGCTGTCCTTCTCGCTGCTGAAGCTGGAGATTCTGGAAACGCCGGTCAGCCGGGATACAAAAGTGCCGCAGTGTTGATATTATCAGTAGAAGAATGCGTGGACAACGAAGTTGTGAATTCCACAGTGAATTTTGAGACCTCTTGCTTGTGACCGTTTGAACTCTCAACTAATTACCAAGAAAGTAGTGGTTCGGTCATGGCAAGCGACAACATACCCGAGAAGGTGACGAAAGCAGAGGAAAAAGCAAGTCGGCATAGGGGCGTGAAAAAGCAATCAGTTTGTCGGCTGGGCGCTTGCCTGATTTGTTGCCGGCCACTGATCCTCTCAAATTTGACCGCTGGCCGTTCCGGTCAATTCGACGGCCAGGCTCCGAGGGTGTCCAACCATAGAAGCACATCACAAGAATGGGTACTCTTGCCGTTCCGGAACGGCAGCGGCTTCTGACGGGATGGCGAAGACCGAACAAGCCCCCGGATAAAACTGGACCAATGCAAGTTTGAACGGGGCCGTGTTGTCGCGGCCGGGAACTCACATGGTGCGGCATGCTCAATACTTTGTTTCGGGAGGGAAGAAGCGACAGAAATCTCATGCGAGCGAGCCTCTTGCGGAGCCGCCCCGGAAGACTGGATCTGGCACGAGGCCGGTGAGACAGCGGCTCGGCAAAGAGACGGGTTGAGACATGACTGCTTGCGTTGTGGTACGCTACCCTATGTCCGCAGCACGTCGTTCCATGTACATACGGCCGAAACCGAAGATTGTGCTACAAACAATCTTCGAAGCCGTCATCGAAATAGAACACTTGAACTTGAGACGACTCTTTGCTGGACAGATGTTTTGTAAGCCCACATTTGGCGGTCGTCTGCGAATTTGATCACAAATAGCTCAATGACGTCGAACGAACTGGTCCGGGCGTCTCGTCTCGTGATGTTGAGGTGATGCGGATGTTATTTGGCGAGAACCAAAGCCGACCCTGTTTGCAGCGCGGGCCGCGGTCACCGGTCGCGAGAATGGGCCGGATGAGCATTATGCAGCTGCTGCAGGGAGAGCAGGCATGATGAAAGTATTTTCTTTCATGTCCCCTCTGTCCCTGTCCCGATTCTCTTTGCTGAAAATTTCGCATGTCAACAAAATCCAACAACCAACCACCACCGACAGAGGTTCGGCGGTGGCTCGGATAAGGTGAGGACGGCGATTTGGAGAAGAGATGGAGGGGTCGAATGGCCGAGAGGTGGTTGGAGAATGTGGGCGGTAGTCATTGGTGGGTACCGTCTGGATACCTCCGATTGGGCGATGGGGCCGGCGCCGAGTGGGGTGTCGTCCCGGTACTGCCTTAGCGGCTCTCTATCGTCATCCCATGTCTGGATCTCTTCTTGTGCCTCAGGCGCAAGTAGATAGAGCCCACAGGCAAGGCACGAACGGTGCAAACCTGGACCCTCCGAACCCCAGCCGTTCTGGCAGGCATCACGGCATCTAAAGGTTCGGTCAGCACCTTGCTGGGCGAGGGATCCGACTTGGTGAAGGGAGGGATAGCGGGCGGATGGTCTGTGAGGTGCATGCATTACTAGTGTCCATTGTGGGCATCGGTGGGCATCTTTTGGGGAGCCACATATCAATTGCCCAGTAGCAAGTCGGGTCCAGGGCCAGGTTTGGAACAGTGGCATGAGCGGTGCGAGTCTGCTGCTGCGAGCGAATGGTCAGCATCGTCAGGCAGAGATGGCAGGACTGGTCGTAGACACGTTTCCCTCCCTCTCTCTCTCTCTCTCTTTCTCCCTTCACTGGTATGTGCATGAACGATGGCACACTTGTACGTCCCCAGCATGCCACCTGTGCTGCCAGAGTTTGTACGCTGCCGGCTTCAGTTGCCTCTGATGCTTGTGACTCGATTACACCATACTGAGACTGAGACTCGCTGTCGATGTTACTTACTACGCGTCCTCCGATTTCCATCGGCATGACCTACTAAACCCAGGCCGGTGGCTTGGCGGCAAACGAGTCGACGAGATGAGGCACGCAAAGCTGGGGTAGGTACCCTAAGCATCGGAAAGGGAGGGGGGGAGCTAGGGTCACGAAGTCAGATCACATCATCAGGCAATTGATGAAGCGATTAGTGGTGACCAGACTGGCCTAGATCTCGGTCTAGGAAAGGGTTGATTTCTTCCAATCGCCATTCTTCAATAGCATGTTTGCCTTGCTGTCCTAATTTCAGGTCCAGCTCCGTGTTCAGGCCCGGGACAGCTCTAGCTCCCTCGTCGTCTACTCACCACTAGTAAATTGGCCTTGACTAGGGCGGGTCGGATACAGATACCAGACCGGGGCATTATGATCCGGATTGTTAAGCTTGAGCTAGAGCTTTGCCATAGTGTGCGTTCGCAGCTGCAGCTGCTAGGCACGTCTGGCAGACCGCAAATACTGGGCAGGGACGCCGAGCATAGCTCGACTTGCAAGTTGTTGGTTGCATGGGCTCTGCCGGGGTAGTGAAGCCACTCAGCGGCAGCAACACGAAGGTGACCGCCTGGTTGGCCGAGTGGGCCACTTTGAGTTACGAGGTGAAAGTATTGTGTTCAGCTTGTACCGAATGGAATTTGGGTGGGAGGGCAGGGGAAAAAACCCTCGGCGGGTATGAATCGAGGAAGAGAAGACGCAGATGCAAAGTCTGCCGTTGGAAAGCCGACCGAAACTGAGCAAGGCGTATCCGTATCGTTGTATACCGTTCGGACGGGATAGCCTCCGCCACGACGGTGTACCCACCTGATTCGCGAAGAAAAGAACGAACGGTGGCGGGTGACTGCTTTGGTCAACTGGGGATGAGACCAACTTTGTTTCTCTGTGCCACAGAATTCCATGTCGGTTCTTGGTGAGAGCACTAGAGAGGATCGAACAAGATGCTCACAGCCGTCTGGAACTGATTCGAGTTGGGGTCGAGATTGAGATCTCTTTCCAAGCCCGCCAGACGCGCCGCAGCGATGTTATTTCTGTCAATATAGTTCCTTTTCAACCCATA